ATTTTTTTGCATACGGAAAAGGACGATTTTCAGTATCATGTATACGGAAATATTTATAATATACTATAAAATCTTACAAAAATAACATATACAATATACTGATTAGACGTATAAAATCTATGTAAAATTACGTATACAATATACTAATTAGACGTATAAATTCCGTATTTTTTTGCATACGGAAAAAGACGATTTTTAGTATCTTGCATACGGAAATATTTACGAATTTATTATACTGATTTTCTACGTTTTTTATACATTTTTTAAACGTATTATTTCCGTATACTTTCCTTATACTGATTATTTATAGGGCAGTGATAATTTTATCTAGTACATACAAAATTCCCAACCCTGCATGAACGTGTACCATCTTTTTAGGCAAAAATTCAGAAGTATGAAGATCAATTGGGTTATACTCCTGCGCAAAGAAAACAAGTTTTATATCTAGAGTAAGACATGATATATTGAATAACATTTTTACGATTGATCATCACAGGCCTATTAATGATATTCTTAATAGTTTGGAAGAAATAGAATTACGTCAGGAGGGTAATAGGTCCACCACCATCATATCTTAGTTATACACAAGCCCCTCCTACCATTTCCAATATTGCGTCTTAATAGCAAGGAATATCTTTAGAAGATATGCAAAAAGCAATTCAAAACACATTAGCACAACAAAAAACTGAATACCAGTCTTTATTAGAAAAGCAGAAAAATGACTTTTAAGTATAGATGGCCCAACAAAGCAAGAAAACTCCTTCACCAATTCCACCTAAAAATATGAAAAGATTCTTGATATATATAAAAGCGCTAATCCTTTTTCTGATACACTTACTAGGAAAGAAATAATGAGAGTAGTCGCAAAAGCTTATGGGTCACCCTCTAAACTGCAAAAGCCAGAAAAGTTGCAATCATCTAGAATCGATAGATTAGAATTAAAAATAGATGAAATTGGTCAGATAACATTTAAGTTTGGTAGGATATCACTTAATGATCAATCTCGAAAGCCTTTTTATTGCAGTAATTGTGAACAGGAAAGGCATAAAAAAAATAGTTGTCCCAAGTTAATTCCTGTAGCTAAATCCAATTTTACTCAGCGTTATTATCCCCAACTTCAATCCACACAGCTCCAATACTTATCTCCCGATTCAGATGATGATGATAATGAGGAAGATTGTTATGACAAAGCAGATAATGAGTGGTATTATACACCGGAAAAAAAAACAGTCACTAGTAAATAAAAGTTTACATGGTAACTCTACTATCCCTTCTTCTAATTTAGTAATTAGCCAACCTGAAACATATGATCAGCTATTGTCTAAGCTATCACTATCAATACAAAAAATGCGTTTATCTTAAAAGGCTCAGGAGAAAGAATCAAAAGAATCAGAAGAGTAGTTGTCATCTTTACAATATCTGAATGCTAATATAAATGACTTAACTATTTCTGAATCTTTTTTAGATACCGACAATGAGTTGGGTGGTTTAAATAACCCAGCAATCAAGGCGCTTGGATGAAAGGCTGATAAACCATCTAATTTTGTCATAAAGGGCAATTCCAAGCATATCACTGATTCATTAGGATGGTTTACAGACGTGCCAGTTACTTTAAAGGATAAAGAAGGTAAAACAATCACAGTTATTGAAAATTTTGTTCGTATTGATAATGGTGAAATAGAACCAATGCTATTTTTTAGTATGTCAAACATTCGAAAGGTTCAAGGTGTTCCTGAGCCAAATAAAAACCAGTTCTGTATAAAGTTACATGGAAAGGCATATATTATCCCAACTTTTAGCAAGGCTCTGGTAGTTAAAGATCTGCCAAAAGAGGATCAGGAATCATCATGTGAAACACCTCTTGACTCTCAGGTTTCAACTAATTCTTCTAATCCAACTAGTGAGAAAGACTTAAAAAAAGTGCGAAGAGCTTGAAAAGCATCTCATAAAGACTGAAGAAATGCTCTATTTGGCCTTAAGTACTGGTAAATTTCTTGCTGATACATGTGAATCCTTATATAAGGAGAGTGGTATTAGCTGTTAAACCCTTAAGTTTTTCACCACAATTAACTAGATTTTTAAAAAGAGAATCCAACCTGTCTTCTCAGGATGTATCAGACAAATTATCAGCAGAAGAGGCCACATCATTTTTGTTATTTTTTCTCCCATACTGCTTGCTTCAGTAACTGGTTTCTCATCTATTTTAACCTTCTTTTTTCGACCATGCTTTTTTGGAATCTTTGTAGCCAGAAGGGATATAGATGATACTTCTGATACTGCTTCAAGAGTCTGTTTTGTCCGATTGGAAGAAGATAAAATAATTCCTTGTTGGAGGCACTCTTTATTATCCCATATTTCATAAACACGTTTAGGATCAATATGAAATTTATTAGCCATTTTTTTTGATGCATTGGGTATTCTATCTCTAGATTCTCTAATTTTCTTGATATTATCATTTGATAATAGGGTTGCCTTAGCATCATAAAATATATCATAGATTCAGACTACCATCTTCACTAGATTTTATATTAGAAAAAAAATTAATGCTTTTCAATAAAATATCAATGTGTATCAATGCATGCGTATCAATACTTTTTCAATACGTATTAATATTTTTCAATGTATATCAATGCTTTTCAATATGTATTAATATATTTCAATATCTACCAATATGTGTTAATACTCTTCAATGTTTATTAATATATTTCAATGCCTACTAATGTGTATTAATAGGCATTAGATTTACCAATAATCATCATAGTTCAAGATCCTGACTGATTTTTTTTGCCTAAAGTAAAAAAAATACCAATAAAATGCCACAGATCCATACCTTAAAAGATTTGGATAATGGTAACAAATTTGGAGATACTCTAGCTAATTATTATCCTTCCAATCGAATAGATTTTGAAGAGTAACTTTCTTGCATAAAAAAAGATCGTGAAGTAGCTATTTATTAGGGTAGCCAGTTTGCGGATAACTATGATGTCTTAGATAGAAAAAACAAGCGTATGCAGGATGACTTTAATAAATTCAAAAAAAGAAAAGGAAAAACTTTCTGATCGGATGCATCAACTTGGAAAAGAGATAAGACAATTGCATTCAGAGAAAAATAAGCTTATACTTCAGATTACTCGTAAGGATATTTCTCTTGCAGATGCTGAAAGCAAATTCTCTATAAAATCAGAGGAAATGTTAGCCCTCTAATCCAAGATGAATGAAGAGATATAGTCTCTCCAAACTAGGGTAGAGGAATTAGAGCAGGATCTTTCTTTAGCACAGAAGGAGTTGCTAGAAATGCAATTTTTTCAATCTAAAGTAGAGAATTTAGAGCAGGATGTTTCTTTAACACAGGAGGAGTTATCAGAAATGGAATCTCTTAAGCATAAATGGGAACTGAGAAATGCAGAACTATTTACTAAAAATATTGATCTATATTTGGAGAAAAGAGATTTAGAAGACACATTAATCAAAAAAAAGGATGAATTGGTATAGATGAATAATAATTTAGCCACAGTGCAAAAAGCATTAATAGAGAAAGACACTCTCCTTTAAGAAGCAGTCCTAAATAATACTCATTTAACCAAGCAAATCCCAAAAACATCCGACGAGTCTGAAGTGAATAAAGGGATGTGGTCATAAAGTAACCTTCCAGATGATATTAACCACTCCATAATATCACCTATTATTACGTCAGAGTCTGGCAAAGCTTTGATTAGTAATGAGAAATTTGGTTCTTTCTTTTTTCAGCTTGCGATCTTTCTTATAATACTATTACTAATCATATACTTCCTGTAGTCTATCTTCTCCCACCTATATTCTTTTATATTGCCCTTTAATGATAGAAAATTTTTCTGAAATATAAATCACCCTTTAATAGAAATCAGAGTTATGGATTCCCAATTCGATACACAGAAGAACCAAAAGACAGGACTGCCTCCTATGAAACTTTACCTTATGAATATAGATAAGGCCACAAAGCATGAATCATCCTGAATTCAATCATTTTGCTAATCCTTTAAAGGTTTGTCTCATCTAAAGATAGGAACTGTAATTAATATGTTATAACTTTTAATGTTGCAACTTACGTTGCAATTAGTTTTAACCTATATATGTTGCAACTAATTTTAGCTTATGTTGCAACATTTGTAAATTTGAAATCAATTGCTATACCATCTTTAGTCCCATCTAAATCTAATTGATAAGAGATCATCAGGTGGTCTTCAAATATCAATAACCACAAAATGTTTTTTTATCACTTCATAAACCTTTTTGCTAGAGGCTCATAATCATCATACATATCTTTAAGAATTCGTTTTATACTATCTAATGTTCTACATCCATGATGCAATGAAATATATTTAAGATTTGTACATATGTTTGGATGAATTTCATAGAAACGCTAGGCAATATAAATTGAGCTAATTTCATCATGCCTGCCTGACCTAAAGAAAGGAACGATTTTTAGTTGTGTTGCCAGAAGTTCACTGGCAAGATCATCAAAAACTATAATAGTAAATCAGCCAGTTCTTTTAAAAGATGAAATATCAGGTAGTTCTTCAGGTGCAATTAGTTTGAATCTCACATTTTCATACTATGGAGCTTACTTATCTATGGCTATAAATTCATAAAAATATTATATTGCTTCCCATAACTCTTCATCTTGGTATTGCGCAATAATAATTAGATCATCACACAGAATATACTTTTCACCAAAATTTTTGCTTCCGCCTTTTGGTATTTTATGATCTCGTTTTTCACCAGACATCTATAGATATATTTTTAGATATTTGGTTCCTAGAAGCAGATATACCACTATTCTTATCTTTCCAGACTCAGAGATGCCCACAACTCCTAGTCTAAATGGATGTTTAGGAGCGAATGGATTATGTTTTTTTGAAGATATAGTTTCATCTAATTTGTGTAGTTCGTAATATTGCATAGTATTTGAAAAGTAGGATACTTATTCAAGATACATATTTTTGTTAACCGCAATATCAAAAATTTTTCTTTGGATGATGCCAGCTTTTTTTTTGTAATTATAAAAATTGGAATAAAAGAACCTTTGATTTATATTGATTCTCAGAAAGCTTGAGACTTAGATCAATGCATAGCAAAACAAAAGCCTACGATTTTTATTGATCCTCAAAAAGCTCATAATTTAGACCAGCATCTTGCCTTGCAAAAACTATATTATCATCCTGAAGGTCTGTATCAAAATGCTAAGGGATTATGGGATACTTGTAAAAAAGCCAACTACAGCTTTCCATTTATTGATGTAAAAAAATAGCTTGATAGGCAAGCAATGTATCAAATTTTTCGCCCTTCTCCAAAGCATATACCTTATACCAGTTACTCTAAAATCATGAAGCCAAATATTGTACACCAATGTGATTTGATCGAAATACCATATGATGAAGATGTGAATACAAATTTACTAGATGATAGCCCAATATTTTACTATGCACTATTGGTTATCATTATAGACTGCACGATTAGATATAAAGATTTCATTTTTTTAACATCAAAAAGTAGTGAAGAAGTCGCAGAAGCATTTAAAAGTATATATTACAATCCTGATAAGCTTCTCAACTGGCCTCAAAAACTACAATGTGATAAAGACACTGAGTTTATGAGATACGTGACTTTATTAATGGATGAACATAGTATTGAAATTTGAAGGATTATAAACGTTTCAGACATATAAGCTTGGCCATGGTTGACCGTTATGCTGGATTATTCGAATTAAGGGTTTTTAAAAATCAGTATTCAATAGAGTTTCTTCTGTCTACTAGCAAGCGCTATAGAGAATGTAAGCAGTTTGCAAGAAAAATTGTTGATAATATGAATGATAGCCTGACTCGATTAATTGGGATGAGTCCTAATGATACCACAAAACTTGAGCGTATATATTCCAAACTATCAGTAAAATATAATCACCCAATAGGTGTTGATGAACCACAACTACCAAAGGGTATTACTATCTGATTTTTGCTCGCTTCTGGAGAGTGAGAAAATGATCCTTTCGAATGACGCAGAATAACAGATCTGATATGGTCTCCTAGCTTACATAAGATCCGAAGGATTGTTATCAAAAAGAATCTTCAAATGTCTATTTATATTATTTAGATGATTCAGGACCCCAACATCCCTTCGTAAGAAAACAGTTAATGCATATTATAGAAGAGCCTATATTGCCTTCTAGGTGGGTATTGGGAGATAACCAAATGCATACAAGGTGCTCCTTATAAAAGTCTCTAAGTCAACAGTGCAATAAGGAATTGTAATAAGTATTACTCCTTCTCTATAACATAACGCCTTCTTTTTCAATCACGCCAGATTTGTGCATCTAGATTCATCTGTCTTTGCAGGTGAAAAAAAGGCACAATTTGATAATATTGATTACCACTGTATTCGAAAGCTAAGCCTAGCTCTTTATTATATTCATCTAGGTGTAAACCCTCTAAAAATTTAGGTTTTCTGGGTGAGAATTTTTATTTAATAAATCCTCAAATATATACCGGCATGTTCTTTCCGATATATTAGGGCAAATGTTGCACCATCTATAACTCTGTTTCATATTTTTATATGACGCCTCCCATTGATGATTTTTCTTACATGCCTATAAATATGTATTAGAACTAACTTTAGTTAAGCATCTACCTTCTCGCTTCCAAGCATATGCTAAGGCTTTAGTGTCAATATCATCTTACATTTTATAGGTATAATAGAATATCATGTACAGAAATTTGCAATAATCAGAAGAATTGATCTGGATATATGCAAATCCAGGTGCAAGTTCGAAAGTAAAATTAAACTTGGCCAGATATATTCGAGGTCAGACTATGTGGTCGGAGGCTGAAAGTTCAAAGATAGAAATTGAAGTTAACCAATAAGGTTTGCAATTTAAAACCTTTCAGTAAATAACTTTCTCAGCTTTATTTCGCAAAACGGCTAGAGTACTGTAATAAGAAAGTTATTCTTGAAACCTCACGACATTTCAGTAAATTATGCGAATCCTATTAGCCGATATTATTGCACGAGAAAAAAATATATAAATTATATTATGCAAAGTGCATTAACAGCTAAGTATTCTTAGTCGTAATTATCACATCCCGCTAAGAATACTTAGAAATATAATCCATTTAAGTGCTTTACTTTAGCGCACCTCTGGTTCGGTTATACCTCAAGATGAAAATACCATAAATTACTAATACTATCCAGCACCTCAATTTCTGATATATAAGGTAAAGCAGGTAGGTCAGCAATTATCTCATCTTTTCGCATGGATGAAACTGGACTGATTTCTTCTGGAATTGATACATGCTCTTTATAACGCATATAATAGACCAATTTGTGAAAGAATAAATTATATTCTTCCATACATTTTACAAGCTCATTAGGTTATCGAGCAAAATCAGAACTAAAGATGGTACAGCAATTGATTTTAAATTTACAAAATGTTGCAACATAAGCTAAAATTAGTTGCAACATATA